ATAAGATTTCATAAGTGATACTATTCATATTGTAAAAATATTCATTCACAGAGAACAATAAAATTGCAGTGATAGTGTAACAGTCAGCTGCCTATATAAACATAATCTGCACACATCAGATCATGCAGTTCCATTTTTCTCAAGAGCAATGCATTTCAGGAATTAATTCTTATTGTAAAAAACAGAAACAGAATTGTTTCTGTAATAAAACACATTTTAAAAAAAGACTGCGCGTTCAGTAACACTTTCTAATATTATGAAAACCATAGTGAATCTTTTAAAGAAGTAATTTTACGTTTAAAAATAGAGATGATCTTTGGTGAAGAAATGGGTTTGGAATTTACTTTCATATTTGGAGATTACATTATATTTAAGAAAAGCTTAAACAGTACTGTACAGCACAAACACCCCCAAGAATCATGCTTTCAAAGCAAACAGACTGTTATTTAACATGGTAAAAGGTAATACAAAGCCAAAACACAGATACCAAGGGGCAGTACTGCTAATTTAAGCTTTTTTACCCATTCTCTTGTTCTCAAGCAGTTGTACATAAGGCATCTCCCTGGAGGGTTCTGCCCTGAGGTAATTAACAGAGGTTCTTAGAGGTAGTATGTTTCATACCTAAATAGATTCACACGTATGAGAGCGCCACTTTGGCTAAATCACAGACTGAAAAACAAAGTCAGTGGGCAGAAGAGGCTGGATGGAAAGATTACTTATTATTTGTCTTTCAGAGGGAGGGAGGGAGAAGGTCAGTGATCTCTTACCTTGGGATCAATTTTCTTAAAACTGGGCTCTTCTTCATCTACCTCAAAATACACTTCGGAGGTGGTGACGGACAGAGTGCCTTTCACTACTAAACAGGGGGCCACGAGCTGAGCTGGTGTAGACAGGCTAACAGGACCTACCAAAAGAAAAGAAAAGCACACACAGTCCAACACTTTGTTTCCCATAATCCGAACAGCAAGCACATTTGTCTAAATATAAATGCAAGTTCCTTCTTTTATTCTATTAATCCAGGCCACCTTCTACAAAACAAGCTGCCTCCAACAAAGGACATTTTTATATACACTCCAAGTACACATGCAATGCATTTGTTGCACTGCTGGATTGCCAAAGATTTGAACAAGTACAGCTGCAAGCAATGGAAATGATTATGTATGCCCATCTAGGTGGCTGTTAGATCATCTCATTTTCTACTCCTGAAAACACTGAAATGCTTCAGAACCAAATGCCGGAAGGAAGGAAAGGAGGAGAGAGAGAGAGAGAGAGAGAGAGAGAGAGAG